TGAATCTAGCTAAGAGATAAGATAGGAACACTGATCTAGCTAAGAGATAAGATACGAACACTGAATCTAGCTAAGAGATAAGATAGGAACACTGAATTTGGCTAAGAGATAAGATAGGAACACTGAGTTACATTACTGCTGCTGTTTGCGGCTGTAAAAGCATCCACAACAAAAAATACAAAGGGAGGGGTAAAAACTCTTAACCCTCCCAAGAGAACAGTTCAGATTACAATGTTCTTTTTTCTTTATGGCTGTTTATAGGGTGAAAGAATACTGTTTAATGCTTTTTATACATTTCCATTGGTCTGTTCCTCAATGTACATGGGTTTTTGATGTAATTGTTTGATATTTCTAATTATCTAATACAATACTTGCTTTAAAAAAGGAATTGATTTCTTAATTCATATTTTCTTCGTCAGTGCACCTCCCAAACCGTTGTTTAGAGAGAAAGAGAGGGGGAGGGAGGGATGGCATTCTATGACATTCTAAATTCCCTGCTAGATATTTTTCCTTGGCCTCCCAATGGTAAAACATCCATGGTATTGTAGTCATTAACTCAATATTAAAACAAAAAGAAACCAAGAATCTAATGGTTCTTTGGAGAGAAGGTGGGAAGAACAGAGGAACATAATTTCCAAATTGCCTGCTAAGTATTATTCCTTGTCTTCCTAAGATTAGTTATGACACAAAAGGAAACAAGGAGATCAAAGGCTCTTTGGGATTTCATAAGTTGAGTTTGTAGATCTGAAGTTGGATCAAAAGGAGTTTTGTTTTGAGTTACAAGACTGAAGATCTATTATGTAATATCTCACTGAAAACACTTCAGTGATAAGTTGCATTATGAGCATTTTAACATTTCCGTAGGGGTGGCAATTCAGACCCAAACTACCCATTTGCGTAGCAGGTTGTAGATGGCTGACATCCCATTGGTGGATTTTAAGTGGGTGGGTAAGGGTTGGGTGATGGGTACCTATTGGGTTCTTTATATAAGGTGCCAACTCTGAAAATCCTGCACTCATTGGGTGCATTATACAAAGTTTTGTTTGTTGTGCTAATCTGAAAAAGTTTTATTATGTTAACACAATAATAAGTAGTTCATGATAAGTTGCATTATGAGCATTTTAACATTTCCAACGCATCTTGAAACAGTAATCTGCTACAGATTTTTAAGTAGCAATGCCAGGTCCATTTTATTCTCAAAGCTCAAACTATTAACACTTCCAACGTTATACTTATTGCTTGTGTGTTGCACCTGTTGCTGATTACTATTCTGATAATTTGCTTCATTTATGTTAATTAGTTCTCTTTGCTCATTTAAATATGTACCTTTTCTATGTTCCAGAAAAATCTATATAATGCATGGGTAACTACATCAGAATTGCGTAATTCAGTTACAGTTAAGAAAATGAAGTTACAGTTGCTGAGGCAAAACTTGAAGCTCACTTCCATCCTTAAGGGACAAGTAAGAGTCATGGATTCGATCAAAGTTTGTTCTACTTCTTATAGATATCCATTGAACCTTAACTTGGTTTTTTCCCCTTTTCTCTTCCTATAACTGCCCTCTGTTTTGATTTTGGTTAGGTGACATTTTTCCTGTTACTTTTCCGCATCTCATTCTTTTTTTCCTTTTTTTTAACACCTTGTTTTTGTTTTTTATTGCAAATCAATTAAATAAATTAAATATAAAAATGGTGCTGAAAGGTTTTCTTCCCAAGTCTTACCTTAGAGGCCAACAAAAGCATGGGCACTAAAAAAGAAGCATTATATAGTGCATTGTAACAACTTAGGCACAAATGACCATAATGCAATAATCATTGAGAGAGTCTCAAATACTCAAAGTTAGGTAATCGGACAAAGTCCCTAGGACCCAGCAGAAGACTACAACTTAAGCAATACCAGCTAGCTTTAGAATTTTTTGAAATTCTATTTCATCATTGATGTAGTATGGTTGAATTGCAATAAAAAATGTGCCAATTTATCTAATTAATGAGGTGGTTAAAGATTTCTGTCAAGCAAAGTGAGGGTTGAGACAAGGTTATCCCTTCTCCTTCCTCTTCATCCTTGTAGCTGATGTTTTTAGTAGGCTGATCTCGGGGACTAACAGATTCTGATTGATTAGGGGATAGAGAGTAAGAAGAGATGAAGTGGTGGTCACTCACTGTTTACAGATAATATCATTCTATTCTTTGAAGGAGAAAATGAAGAAGTAAGGAGTCTGAAGGATATAATATGTGTATATAAGAGGATGTCAAGTCTTGAGGTCAATCTAGACAAGAGTTACTGTTGGTGGGGTTAACATAAAGGAGGAGGTGGTTAGCCAGCAGTAATACTAAGTTGTACTGTTGCTTATTGGCCAATGAAGTGAGAGAAAATTGATTAAGATGGTTTGATAATGATAACATGCAGAGAAGCCATGTATAGTAGGGCTGTCAATGGACTTTGAAAGTCCAAAACACATACCGTTGTCCAATTCAATTATTTTGTAATCAGATATTATAATCTACATCCATTTAATAATCAGATCAGATGCAGATTTGACCCCATCTGATCTGATTAAGATATGAATGTGATTAAAATTTAATTTGTTAGACTTATAGATATGTAATATAGCTATTCATATATAAAAGTTATAATAAGTAAAGTTTATAGTTAATAGATTCAATATTTATATTTATATATATTTATTATATGTATAAGTTAATAAGTAATTACTATTTAAAAACTTCTTAATTTTTGTTTAGTTTTAAGACAATGAAGTGGACTGACTTAAATCTGAATCTGTTCCAAGTTCGGTAATATCAGATTTTGGATTGGATTTGGATTTGAAGTTTCAATATTTGGATCAAATTCAAATGTGGCTGCTGGCTTGATCCAATCCAAATCCAACCTGATTACATCTCTAAGCACTGGTGAGAAGTTATTTGTTATAAGTTGAAAGGGTCTAGAAGAGCTAGGGCCTGACCAAAGAGGACATCAGTTGAAATAGTGAGAAATGATTTAAGGGCCCATAACTTAAACAGTGGATATGGCTTTGAAAACAAAAGGGTGGAAGAACAAATTCATGTAGCCTACCCCATATATTTGGGACAAGGCTTAGTTGAGTTAGTATGAACAGAAGACAACTTATCAATCCATTTTGACAAATTGCGTAGAGTTATGCATATCTTTTGTGTTGTTGTTGACAATTATGTTCTTTTGTTATATCTTTTGTGTAGTTGTTGACAATTATGTTCTTTTGTTGATAATAAAGAAACTCTCTAGTAAAAAGGGGGTATGCGTTATGGACAATATTTCTTCCCCAGACATGCATCATCATCATTATCATCTAAGCCTCATCCCAACTAGATGGGGTTGGCTACATGAAACCTGTTTAGCCATTCTGTTTTGTTTATTGCCAATCCATTGTTAAATTATCAGCAGTCATTTCTTACTACTCCAACCCATGTCCTTTTTGGTTTTCCCTTAGCCCTTCTAGGCCCCACAACTTGCAACAAACTCCTTCTTCTTAAGGGTGATGTCGATGGTCTTCTATGCATGTGAATAAATTATATATTAGTCTACTTTATCTCCAAAAAAATATATTAGTCTACTTTCTCTCATTTTATCACATATTGGAGGTACTCCTATGTTCCTTCAAATGACTTTGTTTTGACCCAACCCTTTCTAGCTTTTCCGCTTGTCCATCTTAACATGCGCATTTCTGCAACACTCATTTTTCTGACATGTATCTTGATTGCCTAAAACATAGCTCCATACAATGTTTCTGGTCTTACTATTGTTTTATAGAACTTCCCTTTTCACCTAATTGTTATTTGTTTATCACTGAAGACTCTGGATGCACCACTCTATTTTGCCCATCTTGCTCTAATGTTGTGGTCAACATCCTTGTCAATCTCTCCCTTGTTATGAATAATCAAACCAAGGTAATGGAGAAAGTTGCATTGAGTTATCTGTTGGTCTTCAATTCTAAGTGTATCCTGATTTGTTCTAAATTTACATGGCATATATTATTTTGGCCCTACTAATTTTCTGAAGTAATTTGTCCATAGACGTAATTTTGCATTTAATCCTTCTATAGTTTCATCAATTAATACAATGTTGTTAGCAAACAACAACACCATGGAACCCCTTTCTGTGTATATTTGGTCAATTCATCTATAATTAGTGCAAATAAGTAAGGATTAAGTGTTGAGCCTTGGTGAAGACCCATCAATAGCTATGAAATCTGATGTCTCTCCCACAAGTGTTCCAACATAGGTTGTTTCTCCCTCATAAGTATCTTTAATTAGGCCCACATTCCTATTTGAAACTCCTTTCCTTTTGAAAACCCACCACATCATCTCTCTAAGGATTTTATTGTATCCTTTCTCTAGATCAATGAACACTATATGAAGATCTCTTTTCTTCTCTCTAAATTTTTCCATCTTATTGTCAAAATCCCAAACTTTTCTATTCTCTCCCAAAGTTTTATATTGTGGCTCATGAGTTTAATCCCACATTAATTATTGCAACTTTGTATATCGCCTTTGTTTTCAAGTATAGGCATCGTACTGCTCTTTTTTCAATCATTAGGCATCTTCTTTTCTTTCATTATCTTATTAAATAGTTTAGTTAGCCATAACAATCCTACCTCTCCCATACCTTTCCACACTTCTATTGTGATACCTTCAAACCCTAATGTTTTTCCCTTGTTCATATTATTTAACACTTCCTTCACTTCGGTAATTCTAATTTTACAAAGGTACATGTTAGTTTTGATACTATTGGAGCTACGAATCTCTCCTCCATTAGCACCCTCTACATGTTCTTTATTTAATAATCTTTCACAATAGTTTTTCCATCTTTCTTTGCTTTTCTCATCTTCCTCACATATGCATCTTTGATAGAATTTCTCAAAAATGCTTTCCTCTTAAAAATAGCGGTGTCATCTCCCAAAATCCTTTCTTTTGTCATCTTCTAACATCTTAATTTGCTACTTTGTGCTGAAAGGATTTGAACTTGATTCCTTGAAGTTTGATTCTCCTCTTGGGTTGAGTATTAGTGAAGATGTATAGTAATGTTGTCAAAGTGGAATCAATTTAGAAATTCCTAATGGTTGATGTTAAAAGACTGTTTGTCTTTTGTTTTTATTTCTGTTTAGTATCATAGGGGTACTAATGTAAATCCCCCTCTTTTATATTATGTATGGTTGCCCTAATATAAATACCAAAAAAGCTGGCGCCGTCAGCACAGAGTTTTGCTCACAGATCTCTCTTTTCTCCTCTTCCTTCTCTCTTCTCTCTTATCTCTTCTCTCCACTTTCTCTTCTGGATAATATGGTATCAGAGCAAGCCCATTTGATCTGAAAGGATATTGAGAAAGCATTCTTTTGTCTTCTCCCTTCACTTGTTGCTGAATTTTTTTCTCTGAAGAACCAAGGTAGATCTTTGGACTGATCTCAGAAGCTTCTATCTTCCTTTTTTTTCCTGATCGTGTATCAGGACAGAACCAAAACAAGGGGATCGATCAACTGATGTGAGGTGATCAACACCTGTACCTTCCTTTTTTGTAGGATCGAGTGATCCTTGTGGTGGTTGTAGGTCGGAGGTGACCTATATGTGTTGTGACAACAGCTTTGTAGGTCGGAGATGACCTGTGTGTGCTGTGACAGCAATCCAATGGTTAATTTGTAGGTCGGTGATGACCTGTAGGTGCCGTAACAGCAGTAAAACTTTTTTTTGGTGATTGAAGGACTATGTTTGTCCCCTCATTGGTGTGTTCTTCGTAAAGCTAATGGGGAGACTGGTTTTCATCTACTGGTGTCTTGCCAATTTGCAAAGTCTATTTGGGAGTGGGCTTTCTCTCTTTTTAGGTGTAGTTGGAATCCTCCATCAAATTTGCAAAGTCTTTTTTCTTCTTTCTTTAGGTGGCGTATGAAAAGGGGAAGGACTATGTGGAGAGGACTGGGGGCTGTAGTATGCTGGTCTTTATGGGAAGAAAAAACTCTAGGATCTTCTCTGAAGTAGAGAGAGGTGGCGAAAATCTAAGGGCTCTGATCCATATAAGGGTTGTATAGTGGATGAAATCCCTAGAGCTATTCAGAGATTATACAATGGATGACATGCTAAGGAAGTGGGGTGAGATTGCTAGTTGTACCCAGGCTAAAGCAGTAATGAGTGTGTCTTGGACCCCTCACCTACGGGTTTCATAAAACTAAACTTTGATGGAAGTAGTAGAGGGAACCCTGGACAATCAGGGATTGGGGGTGTTTTCAAGGATGAGAATGGGGTTGTTTCTGCCATGTTCTCAGGCCCAACTGGAGTGGGTGACTCTCTCAAAGATGAGATCCATGTAGTTATGGAAGGAGTCCAGAAAGCTAGGGAGATGAATATTAGAAAACTCATAATTGAAGGGGACTCAGAGGTGGTGGTAGGGTGGCTGAATAAAGACGATAGTGGTTTATGGAGCTATAGCAATGTGAGG